AGTGAGTAGCATTGGCTTTATTACATTTTTTAATTAACAGTTTTAGAAATAAACATCACTTGTAATTACTCAATTAATAGAAATGTTGCCTTTTCTTTCAATGGAGGTATTGTACCACAAGACCATCTGTTTTTCTGTTTTGCATCTGCACTTACACCTTTATTTGCACAACCTACCTCTAAAATGTCGCTGTAATCTAAAACCATGTTCATGCCAGCAATGTGTGTGCCAAAATACAACGCTAGTGACAAGATTGTCTCCAGTAATCCTTTCCAAGGCAGAGGTTATGTAAAATACAACGCTAGTGACAGGGTTGTCTCAGGTAATCCTTTCCAAGGCAGAGGTTATGTATAATATAAACTAAAACACAAATGCATCCTTATTTGTTTTAAACAAGAACAGTAGGAGTATAATTCTGAATGCCATACCGGTAAACATAAGGTCCAATTTCATCTACAACAGGCTTTTCCCCATCCAAGACCTCCAGCGGGTTGGTAACATTAAAAAAGTAGAACTTCATGTAGATGGGGGGAGGAGGATCAACCCAGGCATTATAAGCCTCGGTTCCATTCTTCAATACGGTGACCTGAAAGAAGTGATGGACATACAGTAAACTGGAGAAGGTAATACTTCTTGAATATACATTAAATAAACACTATTGATGGATCTGCTAGTATTTCCTTACCTATGTTTCATACTAGCCCGTCTTCTAAAATGGAGAAAGGGAGACTGCATTTTAACCAGTTCCAGCGTGTTCCCGTAAACGTATGTCATCCGCTGGAAGTGGTTATACCAAGAACACGGCGGCTACTGCAGCTGTGTTCTTGGTACCGTTTTAAACAGCCGGCGATTGCTGTTTAAATACAAGCGATCCACTGTCCCCCGTGTGAGCCCGGGACCAGCACGGCGAGTCTCCCCTGCTGGATCTGCTTTTAGCCGCTGATCTCTCCTCCGATCGTGTAAAAACGAAAATTGCGCCACACGTTACATATCGTCGCCAGCTTCGGAGTGAGAGCAATAATTCTAGGACCATCAATCACTGTTATCACTAAACTGATAAGCCGTAAAGCGTTATTTTGGTTTGGGAAATTTCGGTTATTATAGTTTCTTGCGGTTTCACGGACACACGCAATTTTAAGGCTTGACATGTTTGGTATCTATTTACCCGGCATGACCCCATCTTTTATATTTTTCCAAAAAAATGGGTATTATATTCTGTTTTATTTTATTGTATTTTATCCTAAAAATACTTTTTTGATAAACATTTGCGAAAATACCGTGCGACATAAAAAATTGCAACTAGCATCTTTTTATTCTATGTGTCCTCTGCTTTCAGGAAATATATAATCGTTTGTGAATCGGAAGCTCTTTTTGGTGTATGTACAAATCTACAATAAAATACACAGATCAAATAAAATGTCTCAGCAAAAATTAGCTACATCTTCCTGGTATTTTTCAGAATAATTGACCGAATCATTTGTATTTCTCGCAATTTATTTTTTTATTCCATTTCCTGATAGTACGGGTAAATAAAGAAAATGCGGTCATCCTAAGACATGGTATCCATATTGTACATTCAGGGGTGTGGAATTCCTATCGCCCGACGCCCGGGACATGCAGTTTCGGGCGCCGGGCGAGTAGTTTTTAAGTACATTTAGCCCGGCTCCGGACAAGCAGAGCTGAATGTACATTGTGGAGCCGCCGCCGCTCGTTTACTACAAGTGGTCTGATCAGACCACTTGTATTAATTTGAGCAGCGGCGATCGTTTCTGCCCGCACCCCCCGCCGTAGTTTTCGGGGTCGCCCGCTCTCCCGGGGGACCCTGAAAACTAAGGCACAACGGCTCAGCCATAGAGCAGGCGAAAAACGTCTGCTCTACGGGCTCTCTGTGTATTCTCTGAGAACCGTGGTGCGCGTGTCTCGGCTGTCAGGAACTACACAGAACTTCTGTTCTGTGTTGGAGGGCAGGGTCCATAAAGAGAACCTCCAAACTATTACATAAGGGATTTTAATCTCCTATGTAATAGGAAGAACATTAAAGGGGAAAAAGTAAATAAATAAAAAGTTAAAGAAAAGTAAAAAAATGTAAATATATAAAGATTTAAAAAATTTAAAAGTAAAAAATTAAAAAGTAAAAAATTAAAATGACAAAGTAATAAAATAAATAAAAAAAAACACCTGCTGCCCCCGCCATCTGCATGCAAATAAACGCATGCGTAGGACATTATGCATGTGCTTTGAGATTGCAGCTGCCATTCCATGGTGGTAGCCAGAATTCTCCTACACACACACACAATGTGCATTAAAGGGTGGCTATACTTACCTTTCGGCGAACAATCCCTACCCTCCGCCAGTATGGGTGTACTATCTGTCCCCCGTACTGCTGTCCAGCACAGTCTTCCCCTATGCATTTTGAATTTTGCTCGCAAATTGCAAGCACTCATTGGTCAACGTGGTCAGATGACTGCGCTGACCAGTGAGAAGCGCTATTTAGCACAGTAAAATATGTTTTGATTAGGGGTGCACCGATACTAGTATCAGTGCCGATACCGAGTATTTGGGCGAGTACTCATACTCACCCAAATGCTCTGAAAACCTTCCCTGATATTGGAACTTACGGCCAGATGAAAATTTCCTCTGAAAGGCAGTGCCGTAGGGGAACATGGAGCCGGCTTCCCGTGCAATCAGGAAGCCATGCGGCAAGCAATGACCCGCCTCCTGGTTTTCTGAATGGCCCGGGAAGCCGACTCCTTGCTGATTGGCTGGAAAGCCGGCTTCCTTGCCAATCAGCATCGAGCCAGTTTCCCGGTCAATCAGGTCATTACTCGCCACCCGGCTTCCTGATTGACCGGGAAGCAGGTTTCCCGGCCAATCGCAATCAAGCAGGCCAAACAACATGGAGCCGGATTCCGTGGCAATCAGGAACCTGGGCGGGATGTCATTACCCGCTGCCCGGCTTCCTGATTACCAGGGAAACCTGCTCCATGCCAGCGAATGGACCGGTATTAGTATACAGTGTCGGCGAGATCCGAAAGCAAAAAATCGGTACTCGTACTCGATACCGAAAAACCGGTATTGGTGCATCCTTAGTTTTGATTGAAACTATTTTTTGTATTGGGACAAGTAGATTGTCATGAAGGACAAGTAGATTTGGCCCCCGCTTTAGCCCTTGGACAAGTAGTTTTTAAAAAAATTTCCACACCCCTGACATTGTATATTGTACATCAAGGACACAAACTATGAGAGCAGAAAGCATAACGGTCCTGACCAAACCCAATGCGAAATGGCATTAAGGCATGTTATACACGTGTCCCACTAAACCATTTGGACCGAGAGTAAATGGTCAGGAGCCACTTTTAGCGGAGCGCAAAAGTGTAGAGAGTAGACTGGCACAAGAGCTGCCCATCGCCCCGTGACGCCCTAACACCCCTGCACACCACCCAGAGCAACAAGTGATACATGGATGAAGTGCCAGTCTAAGATAACAGAAGAGAGAAGGACATGTAATCTTATATGAAGTTTGCTGCTTAACTGAATAGTGTAAGGACAGGGTCTCTTTAACAAAGCAGGAATTTTTTTTTTCTAGAAATACAAATGATTGAGTAAAAAGAGCAATTATTCTGAAAAATACCAGGAAGATGTAGCTCTCTGTAGCATTTTTGCTGAGACATTTGATTTCATCTGTGTATCTCATTGTAGATTTGTACATGCAGCAAATAACAGCTATTTGTGCTGAGGTAAATTCATGATAGATACATGATAGTCATCATTGCATCATTGTGGCTCTAAGCTAATCACACTGAAATAAAAACATGACTCACTGAGGAAGCCAAATCAGTTATTGTCTCGAGTAAAGAACTTAAAGGAGGACTATGAGGTGAGTGAAAAGCAATGAAACTGTCACAGGTCAGCTCAGTAGATCGGGAAGTGAGCGAACACATACCGGCGTTTGCTCACTTCTCAATCGGGAGAGAAGGGAGGGACTGGATTCCCCCTCACCGCTCCGATCTTCCAGCGCTGACTGGCGGAACGGACAGGGAGGGGGCGGGTACAGCAGGCTCTGCCACTAGACAGATCCAGCTGTCACTCACGCAGCTGGGCGGACCCAGACATAATTGTCGGGGATCCGCTTCAGCTGCGGCGTCTCAGTATACCGCGAGCTGTGGCTCGCGGTATACTGAGGTAAGGGTGACAGGAGGACGCTAGTTTGTGTCCTCCCGTTACCCTTAGGAGAACTATGGGGAAAAGCCCTAACCCCATAGTTCTCCTTTAAGTGTATGTCAAGTCAAACCTTTATTTCTTAGTTCAGAACCCCTGTTGGGTTTTCACTGCTATCCAGAGCTCCACTAAGGCTGGCTACACACTGATAGAATTTCAGCCGAAATTGTTACCTCAATCAACTTTTGTTGAAGGAGCCAGGCCAGAAATGTTTCAACGGACAGTGACTGCAGCCAATTAGCACATCCGCTGCTGTAAGAATATAATAACGCGGCAGGAAGGGGGCATTCCAGAGTTTTTCCTCGTTCTGTTGCTGGAGCTGAACAAGGAAAAAACTCACAGCTTATGATCAACCTTAAGCTGGCCATACAAGGGTAACATTGCGAATGAACTTTGGTATGAAAAACCTTATCAGGACATTCAACAATGCCATCAGAGACTTGATGAATGCCATTCCGAAATCTTGTTTTTAACATTCTATTTTAGAATGAACGGAGTTTCTCAAATGAATACCACATGTAGGCCCCTTTCAGACCGATTTGGACCATCTGTCAGTTTTTCAGGCGGACCCAATTAGATGCCAAATGTTCGTCTATGCACAGCCCGTCTAAACGGACGGGTGTCCATTTACATCCGCTAGCCTCTAGCTCCGGCCAGGTCCAGAAAAACAAACGGTAGTCTTCCATTTTGTCAGCCCTGATCATGGCGGATCGGGGGTAACCTGATGGAAACGGACACCAGTCTGTTTACATCCGATTACCCATAGCCCGACATGCGGTCCGGTCATTTAAATTTGCTTCTCTATGGCAAGATGTAGGAAAAAAACTAGATGGACACTGATATCACAGTGTTGACATCCAATCTGTACTACTCGAATCAAGAGGGGATCCGTGCAAGGGGCTTCTCCCTGGGAGGAGGTCTGTGTGAGGATCTGCTCTCAGGGTCTGGCCACAGCATGTGCCATGTTATGAGGGCCCTGGATCCTAAGCGACACTGGAGTGATTACCTGATGGAAGCTGGATTAGAGATAGGATCTTCTTTTGAAGAGTGCCATAGAGGAGCTGGACATTGTAAGGACTCATTGCCTTTTGATCCAGGTATCATAAGCCAGTTGATGCTCTACAGTAGGGGCTGGCAAACTCCGGCCCTCCAGCTGTTGAGGAACTACAAATCCCATGAGGCATCGCAAGATTCTCACATCCACAGACATGATTACCAGAGACAGATGTGTCATGGGATTTGTGGTTTTACCACAGCTGGAGTGTTTGAGTTTGCCCATCCCTGCACTACAGGGCCTGTGACTGCTCTGACAGGGTCATAGATTTACCTGGCTACACTCTATCAGTATTTTTGAAGGCATGCAAACTGTCCTTCAATACACTGTACCTAAAGGCCAACTTAGAGTTAGTGCGAATTACCTACAGTTTCATTATTTACAAACTGGCAGTAATTATTTATAAAAATTTGTAGTAGCCATAGTGACACATAGTGAAAGTCGGTCAAATAAGAACAACCTGAATTTGTCGCACATCTCAGAACCGTTTAAGGAACTGCCGAAAAGCTTTCATGAATTAGCCGCAGGACTATCTAAGGCTAGGATACCACCAGGAAAGTGTCCAAAATGTTTTATTGAATTGCCCCCAAAGCAGTGGTGGGCAAATTAATATGAAATTCAGGAGTCAGTCTGTCCAACCTAAAGGCCAGCAGAATTATTTTTAGGAGCCGGCTCCACTGGCAACTAGAGAAAACCCTCAAAAGAGAGGCACCAGCTGCAATGTTTAAAGCGCATCGTCTACTTGACTCCTTAGCATCCTTCAGACCTGCCCCAACGTGTTTTAGAACTTGGTGTTTGGGGGTTAAGGCTCAGTGCAGGATATGTTACAGTTTTTATCTACACCTAAAAAAATTTGTCAAAATTTTGTCTTGGAGGCCAAGTGAGTGGCCAAACAGATTGTAATGCGTATGGATAACACTGACCGGTCAGTGTCATCCATACACATTACAATCAGACTGTACAATCAACTTTACATTTACTAAATCTGTGTAATAGGACCTACCTAAGCAATTCAATCAATCTGTATCCAATCAGACTTGCATTACATAGCTGTGGATCTAATGGCTGGTTCAAACCATATCTATCGAGGTGTATTTTTCTGCACACCACCGCACATGTATAGTGCGAATAGGGCACATTGAAGTCAATTGTTCACTATGTGCCCCATTCACACCATAAATGTGTGGTGGTGTGCAGAAAAATACACCTCCACTGACATGGTGTGATGAAGGCCGAAAGAAGATTGTACGGTCAGGTTGTAACGTGTGTGGTGAGTTACATACAATCACACAGTAGATAAAGCACTCACCTTCTTGACCTCTGTTTCTACCATCTCCATGAAGGTGTGGACTACCAGCAGCACAATGCTGGTGATGAGCAGAGATAAAGACAAGATGCCACATATGTTCATCATCCACCTCGCCATATCCCCCGAAGATGCTAGATTGCCAGATTACAATGCAGAATAATGGGTCACATGGAGGGTGATTCCTTCTTCTCACACAAGGATCCTCACTGTGAGCACTGCAATAATCTGTGACAGTCGGATCTGTAGTGGAGCTTCTTACATGCTATATACAAACATGTAATGTGTAAGTGTCCACGTGATTGGTATGTTGTGATCAGGGTCTGTAGGTGTACAGGGACTTCTGTCACTACTTGCAGCTGGCTGTGTACAAGTGACTGAGTCTGTGACTGTGTACAGGCTGGGGGTGGGTGGAAGCTCTTGGTGACGCCTTACATTACAAGTTCCCTGCCCCCACCTCAGTTTCGTTTCCTCCCTTCTCAGATCCCTTTCATTTTGTTACTTCAGCCAGCTTGTCTGGATCACCGCCCACCCAGGCTGTCATGTCTTGTATCACGTCGCAGGACAATGACGACATTGTATACAAATGCTGGCAGCAGACAGTAGCTCACGATGCACCTCATATACTGGATTCACACCATGTGTGTTGCTTCTAGTATTCGCCCGTACAAAACAGCAGCAGTGGAACAGTCAGAGGATGAAGAGTTTCCTGTGGAAAGCACCTATAAAGAATTGTCATAATGAACCCTTCTAATGGGGCTACCCTAGCGCTGCAATGGTTAACTGTTCATTAATGTCTCGGACGGGGTGGGCAAACTCTGGCTCTCCAGCTGTGATGAAACTACAAATCCCACGATGCATCTGTCCCTGGTGGTCATGTCTGTGGATGTGAGGATCTTTCAATGTCTCATGGGATTTGTAGTTCCACAACAGCTGGAGGGCCAGAATTTGCTCATCTGTGGTCTAGGGGCTAACATAAAGAAGATATATGCACCTTATCCTCAGTTCTATTAGGCTGGTCCCCATAGCCTCTTCTCTATCTAAGGATCTATGCCATCATCATGTGTAATTCAAGTGCATTAGACGTAAGGGGCATTCAGAGAGGTAAGTGCACAACAACACAGCATCAATGATCAGGTTAGTATAAGGGTTGCCACCTTTTTTTCAAGTGAACCCCAAAAACCTGACTGTCGGGGTGAATCCCAGACAGGTGGCAACTCTACACCTGTGGCATCTTTAGTGGGTGCATCTTTTATGTGTAATAGTGCATACCTGAGGGCATATCACAGGTCCCCAGATATGCACTATTGTGCATAAAAGACAGCCCCATAAAAGATGACAGGCTAATGAGGTAAGGGTGACAGGAGGACGCTAGTTTGTGTCCTCCCGTTACCCTTAGGAGAACTATGGGGAAAAGCCCTAACCCCATAGTTCTCCTTTAAGTGTATGTCAAGTCAAACCTTTATTTCTTAGTTCAGAACCCCTGTTGGGTTTTCACTGCTATCCAGAGCTCCACTAAGGCTGGCTACACACTGATAGAATTTCAGCCGAAATTGTTACCTCAATCAACTTTTGTTGAAGGAGCCAGGCCAGAAATGTTTCAACGGACAGTGACTGCAGCCAATTAGCACATCCGCTGCTGTAAGAATATAATAACGCGGCAGGAAGGGGGCATTCCAGAGTTTTTCCTCGTTCTGTTGCTGGAGCTGAACAAGGAAAAAACTCACAGCTTATGATCAACCTTAAGCTGGCCATACAAGGGTAACATTGCGAATGAACTTTGGTATGAAAAACCTTATCAGGACATTCAACAATGCCATCAGAGACTTGATGAATGCCATTCCGAAATCTTGTTTTTAACATTCTATTTTAGAATGAACGGAGTTTCTCAAATGAATACCACATGTAGGCCCCTTTCAGACCGATTTGGACCATCTGTCAGTTTTTCAGGCGGACCCAATTAGATGCCAAATGTTCGTCTATGCACAGCCCGTCTAAACGGACGGGTGTCCATTTACATCCGCTAGCCTCTAGCTCCGGCCAGGTCCAGAAAAACAAACGGTAGTCTTCCATTTTGTCAGCCCTGATCATGGCGGATCGGGGGTAACCTGATGGAAACGGACACCAGTCTGTTTACATCCGATTACCCATAGCCCGACATGCGGTCCGGTCATTTAAATTTGCTTCTCTATGGCAAGATGTAGGAAAAAAACTAGATGGACACTGATATCACAGTGTTGACATCCAATCTGTACTACTCGAATCAAGAGGGGATCCGTGCAAGGGGCTTCTCCCTGGGAGGAGGTCTGTGTGAGGATCTGCTCTCAGGGTCTGGCCACAGCATGTGCCATGTTATGAGGGCCCTGGATCCTAAGCGACACTGGAGTGATTACCTGATGGAAGCTGGATTAGAGATAGGATCTTCTTTTGAAGAGTGCCATAGAGGAGCTGGACATTGTAAGGACTCATTGCCTTTTGATCCAGGTATCATAAGCCAGTTGATGCTCTACAGTAGGGGCTGGCAAACTCCGGCCCTCCAGCTGTTGAGGAACTACAAATCCCATGAGGCATCGCAAGATTCTCACATCCACAGACATGATTACCAGAGACAGATGTGTCATGGGATTTGTGGTTTTACCACAGCTGGAGTGTTTGAGTTTGCCCATCCCTGCACTACAGGGCCTGTGACTGCTCTGACAGGGTCATAGATTTACCTGGCTACACTCTATCAGTATTTTTGAAGGCATGCAAACTGTCCTTCAATACACTGTACCTAAAGGCCAACTTAGAGTTAGTGCGAATTACCTACAGTTTCATTATTTACAAACTGGCAGTAATTATTTATAAAAATTTGTAGTAGCCATAGTGACACATAGTGAAAGTCGGTCAAATAAGAACAACCTGAATTTGTCGCACATCTCAGAACCGTTTAAGGAACTGCCGAAAAGCTTTCATGAATTAGCCGCAGGACTATCTAAGGCTAGGATACCACCAGGAAAGTGTCCAAAATGTTTTATTGAATTGCCCCCAAAGCAGTGGTGGGCAAATTAATATGAAATTCAGGAGTCAGTCTGTCCAACCTAAAGGCCAGCAGAATTATTTTTAGGAGCCGGCTCCACTGGCAACTAGAGAAAACCCTCAAAAGAGAGGCACCAGCTGCAATGTTTAAAGCGCATCGTCTACTTGACTCCTTAGCATCCTTCAGACCTGCCCCAACGTGTTTTAGAACTTGGTGTTTGGGGGTTAAGGCTCAGTGCAGGATATGTTACAGTTTTTATCTACACCTAAAAAAATTTGTCAAAATTTTGTCTTGGAGGCCAAGTGAGTGGCCAAACAGATTGTAATGCGTATGGATAACACTGACCGGTCAGTGTCATCCATACACATTACAATCAGACTGTACAATCAACTTTACATTTACTAAATCTGTGTAATAGGACCTACCTAAGCAATTCAATCAATCTGTATCCAATCAGACTTGCATTACATAGCTGTGGATCTAATGGCTGGTTCAAACCATATCTATCGAGGTGTATTTTTCTGCACACCACCGCACATGTATAGTGCGAATAGGGCACATTGAAGTCAATTGTTCACTATGTGCCCCATTCACACCATAAATGTGTGGTGGTGTGCAGAAAAATACACCTCCACTGACATGGTGTGATGAAGGCCGAAAGAAGATTGTACGGTCAGGTTGTAACGTGTGTGGTGAGTTACATACAATCACACAGTAGATAAAGCACTCACCTTCTTGACCTCTGTTTCTACCATCTCCATGAAGGTGTGGACTACCAGCAGCACAATGCTGGTGATGAGCAGAGATAAAGACAAGATGCCACATATGTTCATCATCCACCTCGCCATATCCCCCGAAGATGCTAGATTGCCAGATTACAATGCAGAATAATGGGTCACATGGAGGGTGATTCCTTCTTCTCACACAAGGATCCTCACTGTGAGCACTGCAATAATCTGTGACAGTCGGATCTGTAGTGGAGCTTCTTACATGCTATATACAAACATGTAATGTGTAAGTGTCCACGTGATTGGTATGTTGTGATCAGGGTCTGTAGGTGTACAGGGACTTCTGTCACTACTTGCAGCTGGCTGTGTACAAGTGACTGAGTCTGTGACTGTGTACAGGCTGGGGGTGGGTGGAAGCTCTTGGTGACGCCTTACATTACAAGTTCCCTGCCCCCACCTCAGTTTCGTTTCCTCCCTTCTCAGATCCCTTTCATTTTGTTACTTCAGCCAGCTTGTCTGGATCACCGCCCACCCAGGCTGTCATGTCTTGTATCACGTCGCAGGACAATGACGACATTGTATACAAATGCTGGCAGCAGACAGTAGCTCACGATGCACCTCATATACTGGATTCACACCATGTGTGTTGCTTCTAGTATTCGCCCGTACAAAACAGCAGCAGTGGAACAGTCAGAGGATGAAGAGTTTCCTGTGGAAAGCACCTATAAAGAATTGTCATAATGAACCCTTCTAATGGGGCTACCCTAGCGCTGCAATGGTTAACTGTTCATTAATGTCTCGGACGGGGTGGGCAAACTCTGGCTCTCCAGCTGTGATGAAACTACAAATCCCACGATGCATCTGTCCCTGGTGGTCATGTCTGTGGATGTGAGGATCTTTCAATGTCTCATGGGATTTGTAGTTCCACAACAGCTGGAGGGCCAGAATTTGCTCATCTGTGGTCTAGGGGCTAACATAAAGAAGATATATGCACCTTATCCTCAGTTCTATTAGGCTGGTCCCCATAGCCTCTTCTCTATCTAAGGATCTATGCCATCATCATGTGTAATTCAAGTGCATTAGACGTAAGGGGCATTCAGAGAGGTAAGTGCACAACAACACAGCATCAATGATCAGGTTAGTATAAGGGTTGCCACCTTTTTTTCAAGTGAACCCCAAAAACCTGACTGTCGGGGTGAATCCCAGACAGGTGGCAACTCTACACCTGTGGCATCTTTAGTGGGTGCATCTTTTATGTGTAATAGTGCATACCTGAGGGCATATCACAGGTCCCCAGATATGCACTATTGTGCATAAAAGACAGCCCCATAAAAGATGACAGGCTACCACAAGTCCCCAGGTATGCACTATTGCACATAAAGGATGCCCCCACAAAAGATGCCACAGGTGGCAACCGTAGGTGTGTATATCTACTTTATTCCAGCCCCTAGAGAAAAATGAGCAGTTATCCCTTGCAGTGCAGGGGTAGCCACACTGCAAGGGTTGATAAAAGTTTTTATTTAACAATGGTGGTGTCACGTACCTTGTTGGAGACTGAATGGGTGAGGAGGCCTCCCTTGCACCTCGTGTCTCGAGGACTCTGAGGATGGGGACAGAGTGGCATGGGTGCCAGTGGGGATAACACCGTGCAAGCTGAAATCCAGGGGCTTTGAGATCCCAAGGCGATATCCAATTTCCAAGCAAACGAGCCAAGGTCAAAACCAATCGGGCAAACACGGTACACAGGGGTCAGACAGAAGTAAAGTCTATTAAATAAATCCGAGGTTGGTAGCAGGCAAGAATGGTCAAGATAAATCCGGGTCACAGCAAGTCAGGAAGGGAATTACAGGAATACAGAAGCACTGAAGATAATCCAGCAATGTGGTGGTACTCAGACTCGGTTTATATAGAGGCAATGATTAGAGTGATGTCATTTCCTGTGCACCGTTTTGGTGTGCTTTTGCGCGGCTGGTCCATAGAGTCAAGCAAAAAGTTTTCCTGGCACACTCACAAGCTAGCATGTAAAAAAACTTGTCTCACACTAAGGTTAAAAACAGAGGATTGGATACACGTCTTCTGCAGAAAATGTGAAAGCCGTGCCAAGGCACCTCTTATAGTGCGGTCCTAACTCTAAACTATCAGAGCCTCCATCTTGGAGCACATGGGGCAGAAGATAAAATCCATAGAGTCCGCGCATGCGCGGAAGAGCTAGTTTCTCCGTGGAACAAAGTTACAGGGGGTTGCTTACAGGTGGTAAGCAGGAGAGGTGCCCCCTTGCATTGGTGGTCAATTGAAACAATGGTGGTCAGTAAAGTGTCACCTGATGTATGTTACCAGCACTGGAGTTATGCAGATAGCATCAGGCGGGAAATCAATCCACCAATGCTCACTTCTCAAGGAACCCTTAGCAATCTCTGGCGGAACCCTGAGGTTCAATGGAACCTTGGTGAATTCTCCATTCTAGTAGTAAAAAGCAGCATTGTGTATATTTCAAACTAACTTATGCCCAGGCCTGAGATCGGAGGCTTTTTTTTATCTGAAGAACGTCTAAAAAGTGAAATAAATTGTAACAAACATATGTAAATGATGTAGACCAATTTCTACAACTGTGCAAGAGTGTCTAGACTTTGATGTGAAAAGTCAAACTCATCATGGCAGACCTTTCTTTCCAGGAATAAATTGGGTTAAGGGCCAGTTCTCACCATATCCAGTGCGTTCCGGTGCGACTGCTTAAAAATAGTGCATGCACGATGTTTGCGATTGAACTGCACCAAAACGCGGGCATTGCTGTACCATGCGTTCTGGTCTGGGCGATCGCACTGTGTGCGGGAGGCGTATCTGAGGTGCCATTAAAGTGAATGGCACCATCACGCCCCAGAACGCGGGAGGCTTGGCTTATGCGATCCAGTGCGTTCCATGAACAGTGAAGGAATGCAATGGATTTGGTGTGAACCAGGTTTTTTTAAAAACGAAAGAGATGCAAAATGTATTATGAATTGAAAATGATGATGCTATGAACTATTTGCTGGAGTTGTTAGCGCACTTTTCCATCCTGTTCATAGAAGTTGTTTTCTCTACTTCCATTGGCATCATTCAGGGAATTCACACTCAATTCAGAGATGATGGCATTGCTGTTAAACTCCTGAAAGCGTTGATTGATGATATCAATATTTAGTGGTTGATGGTTGCTGTGTGCAATACAATAAAAATAAATGTAATTAGTAAAACATTTTAGCACCAAGTAAACCTAGGCAGTGTGCTGTAAATTCTGACCTATTTGGCCAGTGCAGTACCAATAACATACTATTGTACTCTGCACCTGGTGGACAAGCTACTCTGAGCTTCATATGATAATATCAATCAGTAGAGCTTAGAAACCAATCACAAATCAGTAGTCTGATGAGCTGTAAGGAGATATACGCCAGGTTACTGCAGTTTAATGTAATCCGCACCTTCATGTAACCTTGCACTGCAAGGGTTAAATGCTCGTTCTGTTTAGGGGGTGCAGATAAAGCCGTATTACTCACCTGCTCCTCGGTCCCGCCCCCCGGCTTTTGAATGTCCCTCAGTGTCTAATGTAGGTCAATGGACCTGCATAAGACCTGATGACGTCAGGGGTTCTTAGACCACTAGAGCCTGGGGGAGAAAAGGCTAGCCATCCAGAGGGAGCCTGCAGGACTGTGGATCAGAAGGAGTAAATCTGCTTCATTTGAATCCCCTAGACAAAATGAGCACTTAACCATTGCTGTGCGGAGGTAGCTCCACTGCAAGGGTAAGGTTGTGATTTTCCTGAAGTTCTTCTGTAAGAATGAAAAGTGACCTACTTATTTTAACGGAATGTTGTTCAGTCCAGTAGGTTCTAATAACAGAACAGTATATGTTGGTGTTACTGAGCTTGTTGAAGGTCATGTTTCGGTTCGTTTCAGGTGTTTCGTTATTTTGTTTTTCCGGATTCGGGTCCGAAAGTCAATTTGTTTCGTTATTCGGATTGAATGGATATATGTCAGAATTTCCACTAATTTCGGATGAGCTAAACGATAATTACGAATGAATGTTTGTGGCAGAAAGGTAACATTAAATGTTTACTTTTTTATTGTTTCATAGTCCACAGGATGAATAAAAAAAACAGCGTTGATGTGAGTGTTGAGAAGGACAAGGGCCTCTTCACCGAAACCCTGGCCCTGACCCCCTGGTTGTGGGGGTCTTCGGACAAGGGGGCTCAACTGGATGCCCCCTTTCATAAAGGGGGCACCTAGATGCCGCTCCCACTCATGAATGAATAAGGAGGTAGTTGTTACCCCTACTCATTCACCAAATATAGGGAATTAGTAAAAAAACACACAACACTGTGCTTAAAAGTCCTTTATTTGAAAAAAAACCCCACAATTTTTTGACAATTCCTTTATTAAAAAACAGAAAAAAAACGAAAAATGTCCATCAATGTGATCCACGCATCAATCACATCATCCAGCAATGTAAATTCCCGCCGCCACGACCGATCCCAAAGAACACCATCCACAAAATGACAGCTTTGTCAACAAAGGGGCAGAGAGAGTCATGATGTTATGGGACTTGTGCCGCCCAGGTTGACTTGGTAGAGGAACCATCCCTGAATATGGTGATAGTTTTTAAGGCATCAAATAACCTAATTCTCCTGGTGCTTTTCTGGAGGTAGAAATATTTATTTTCTTTATTTTGGGAAGATACTCACAACTTAAACAACAAGGAAAATTGTTAAAGACTGCACAATTGAGGCAGAAAAATAAATTGGTCCAAAAAACAGCATAAACGATTAACAGGTAGACAAAATAAGCACCTCCTCCAGTTTGGATTTGCAATGTACTTTGCACAGAATCATTGAAGCGACTTCTCCCCCACAAATTTTTACCCCACAGTGGAATGTAAACAAAGGGGCAGGGTATACCCCGTGATGTCATTGACCTAATATAGACATGTCCATATTTGATCAGTGATGTCACGGAGAATCCTGCATATACCCCGTCCTTTTGTTAACATTCTGCTGTGGTGCCCGGGGTCTATCATTTGGCACCATCAGGTGCAGATGTGTCTGTGGGACAGTGTATTTTTTTTCTTTTGGCAGGCGTTGTTCATCATCATTGATGAGGATTTGCATCGTTGGACAAAGTGATTGAGAATGGATTGACATTGTGGGACTTTTTTTTCCGTTTCTTTTTTTTTTTTTTTAAATAAAGGACTTGTAAAAAAAAGTATGTGGTATCTTTATTTGCAATAGGTTTGTCACCACCACTGCCTTCAAAACTGCGCTCCAAGCCTCATTGTGCATAGACATTTTCCAGCTCACAGGACAGCAATCTACGCATAAGGAGACTGAGAGTGACAATTACTGGAGTTGGTTAACCCTACAGTTAACCCTTTACACACCCAAATGGTAGCCACTAGTGCATGTTTTAATGGAAACACACCATTCACGGCCTCTGTTGTAGCAATTCTAATCTTTACGAATTGTCTGTGATACTTACTGACAACAGACAGGAATATAGCAGAGTTAAAAATATGGAAGCTTTCTTCAGAGAGACAAGAATTCCTTAATTTCTTATTTAGAGCATTTGGAAATTCAACTTAATGATTTTTAAATATACTTTTAATGAAACAAAGGAAAAAACAGTGCAAGAAAATATTTATAGAAAACATTACAAAGTAGACAATAGCAACAACAAAATAAATGCAATTAAAATTAAAGGTATTAACAACATTTTGCCTGGTCTTTGGTTTCTCTGCAGAGTCTAATTTACTTCAAAGTAAGTCTGATTTGATAGAGTCACAGGTTTTCTCATAAACGAGTCTTCTGGTATCCATATCAGTTTCAATGTCAAATGAGAGCTCTCATGCAGCCATCTTTTCTGGTCCACAAAGAGGGTGTTCATAGAAATGACATACTCAATCAAAGGTTCTGAGGGGTGTGCTGAGGGAGTGTTGAAAGGTTTTATGAGGCTCTATCGGACACTCTGTCAATGTCAGTATTTCAAATTATACAGTTAATCTTATAACATTTAATGTTATTCATTTATATGTTTGGTATCAAACTGAATGTTATTCTCTTAAACATTAGTGTAGCCATGTTTTATGGCGATATCTCCAGTACGGTACCAATCATAAAATATGACCAGAGTCGAGCGTTGGATATGTATGAAAGGGGAGTTTCATGTAAAGTAAGAACAGACTTCCCCATGTGTATTGCTGCTAGACTATTTTGCATCTATTTATAAAAGCTATTAGCAGGCTCTGGTGTAAGAGGACACCCTACTTATAATGACACGGCCTGAGTTCTTTCAAACATACTGTAACTAAAATGTTTAAATGGGATTCATGAGGACCTGCTTTGTGTTGTTTCAATCTGGTCTTTGGTATCGCAAAGTGGTCACCCACTTTCTGCAGCACGTACATCAGATTTAAATCTAAACATTTTGTTGCAGACTTGTGAATTTTTGGAGAAATGAGGGTGCCACTGCATTTCCCATTTTCCCCACTCCATTTTAGCTGTATCATCACAGGGAGTGCCTGCTATTTGGAGTAAGCAGTGATTTAAAACATGGGGGCATTTTGTGGTACGTTCTGGTTAGCAAGTAAAGTTTTAGGGCATTCTGTCTAGAATGTAAAGTTTGGATGCCTTCCGTTTAGCAAGAAAAGGTTTTGCACATTACATTTATCAGGTAACATTTACAGCATTCTATTAGTCAAGTAAAGTTTTAAGGGATTGGAATCACTTAGCAGTAAAGTATGGGGCCATGCCATGTAGCAGGTAACGTTTTGAGGTTTTCCATTAAGAAAGTATATTTTGGGGGTATTTGGTTTATCATTAAATGTTGAGGGCATTACGTTTAAAAAGATATGATACAGTTTAGTGGCATTCTGTTTAGCAGGTCCATTCCATTTAGGAGGTAGCATTTGGTAGCAATCCATTTACATTTAGAAGGTAAAGTTTAGGGATGTTATGTTTAGCTATTGCAGTTTGGTGGCATTCCGTATATATGCAAACATTTAGCCACATTCAGTTTAGCAGGTAAAGTTAGGTGCATTCCTTTTCGAAAAGGTAAAGTTATATGCATTTCATTGAGCAGGAAAGTGTGAACACATATTGTTTAGCAGGTAAAGTGTGAAGACATTTTGTTGAGCTAGTTTGTAGGAGGCATTTGTTTAGCAGATAAAGTTTGAGGGCATTCCATTTACCAAAGGAGCATTGCGCGAGTAGCAGGTAAGGGTTGGGATTACACCGTGTGGCAGGTGAAATTTGGTGGGATGCAGTTTAGTAGGTAATGTTTGGTGACATCCCATTTAGCAGTCAAAGTTTGGGGTGATTCTATTTAGCAAGTAATATTTGGAAGCATTCTTTGTAGCATCTAATATTTGGTGGGATTCCATTGAGCAGATAAACTATTGGTGCAATATTGGGATTACACCGTGTGGCAGGTGAAATTTGGTGGGATGCAGTTTAGTAGGTAATGTTTGGTGACATCCCATTTAGCAGTCAAAGTTTGGGGTGATTCTATTTAGCAAGTAATATTTGGAAGCATTCTTTGTAGCATCTAATATTTGGTGGGATTCCATTGAGCAGATAAACTATTGGTGCATTAAATTTAGCAGGTAACACTGGAGGGGGGGGGG